TGAGGGGTGCAGCCCCCTGGTCGTGAATTTGACCTGCTTGGATTAGAGGGAGGTAAGAGTATCCATGGGGAATCCCTTCAGATGGCTGTTGCAGTGATTCAGATGAGAGATGATGACAGCCTTAGGGTTAATGGCAGTGGGCATGGAGAGGATCCGAGAGATCTTTGGAAGGTAGAGTCCATGGGAATGGTGACATTGGGGATAGAAAAGGGAAGATGAAGCTCTTCCCTGGGTAACATGGGCTAATGTCATCATCTGAGACAAGAAAAAGTAAATGAAACAGATTTAGTGTGAGGAGGGAGGCGACATCAATTTTGAAATGTGGAGTTTGAGGAGCTGTGGCCTTGGATAGATAGGTATGAAGCTTAAGAGACAGATCTGAGCTGTAGTTATACTTTTGGGAGCCTTTGTCATTTAGATAATCATGAAGACATGGGTGTCAATGGGATTGCCATGGGGGAGTGTGTAGAGTGAGAAGAGAAGAGGGCCCAGGTCAGCATTGAAGAACTAACAAGCTAACAGAGGGAGAGCCTCCTTTAATGGACACTGAGAAAGGATGGATGGACAGGAAGCAGAAAATTTAGAAGAGAAAGAGAAGGAGGTATTGATATTCAAGAGCAGAGGTAGTTGGAGAACTGAGCTGAAGGTCAGAGATGGCCTGAGAGTGCTAGGTTTAAATTGAGTCTTTCAGAGGTGGAGCATTTTAAGATGATAAGACCCATTAGAGGGGCCATGGGATGCATGAGCAGAGCTGAGAAGAGGGAGGCACTGGGCTGGCTCAGCAGGACACAGTGACTTCCAATCTGGCTCAGGCAGGCACTTCCTGAACACCCTGAGATGTCTTTGTGCTGGTTGTAGCTTCAAGACCAATTTTGTCCTGTTCTGAAATTGCTTAGGGGGTTAGGGGAACTAATGCAGGCTTCTCTTTTTGTTCATGGTTGTTAAAAAAAATTACATAAAATCCCCAAGAAAAAAACTTACAGATTTTCCCATTTTTACTTCTGAAAAATAAAAAAGGAAAAAATGAGATAACTGAGTAGTTTTCCTTCAAATATCACAGGCACATTCATTGTCTTGCTGTTGAAAATTTGGTCTCAGAAGTTAACATCTGTTAATGTTTCATACCATGCACTTAAAGATAATCAATTAGAAAATGAACCCTTAAAATAAACCATCAACACCAAATGCTGGTGAGGATGAGGAGTAATTGAAACTATCATTCACTGCTGGTGGGAATACAAAATAGCACAATCACTTTAGAATATAGTTTGTCACTTTTGTACAGAAGTAAACACACTCTTACCATAAGATCCAGCAATTGTACTTGCTGGTATTTACCCAAATGAGGATGGATTTCCTCCACCAAGTTGGGAAGTCTAATACCAACCCTGAGCGATTTCTGAATATGGAAATAACCAGGCCTGTTTCCATTCCCAGAAGAAAAGACTTCATTGGATCAAATACCAAGGTAGATATGATGTCAAAGATGGCAGCATAGCATTTGAAGGATTGTGTTTATTGGTTCTATTCAATTCACCCAACTTACTGAATGTCGGTTATGGGCGTGGCCTGGCAGAGGGTGACTAGAACAGTCTATTCTTAGCATGTAGTGACCAGATAACATTGGTTACATTTGTTCATCTTTACTCTGTCCGGTAGATCCAATCGAATCCAGGACTTGGTGTTAGGAACAGCGAGCTTTCCTTTCTGAATGGCAACCCCGAGGCTGACATGCTTCCCCAGGGATCCAGGGTGACCCCGGTCTCCACAAGGAGGACCCTAGAGCTGAGAAGGCGAAGGAGCCGGGGCCGGAGGTTCAAAGCGGCTTCTCTGGAATTTCCCGAGCCCAGTGGGAGCCCAGCATCAGACAGCTCTCCTGGCACCTTGTGGAGAAGCCCTGGCTGCTTATCCCAGGTCAGCAGCCCAGCTACAGATGCCCAACTGCCTCTGTGTTCTTCCCACCTTGAAGCTGGGGCCAGAATGAAGGTCTTTGGTTGGGAAAATGCCTTTGAGAAGCTGGAGGCAGAGACCAATGTCGACACAGGACGCACTGTGGTCAACTCTGAACCCAGGAAATCGTTTCTGAGCAGGTTTCCGAGGGATCTGCAGACCAGCCAGCCACCATCAGCCTCCTCCTTAGGGGCAGCTGCCTCCAAAAACAACAAAAACTTGAAGGAAAGCATCCATCCTTTGTCACTTGCTGGCCAAAGGGGCCTTGATGCAAGGAAGATAACCTCGAAATGTCTTCATCTGCCAGTTCAGGGTGAAGAAAAAGAAGGAGAAGAAGAATTCTTTATATAGTATAAAGCAATGTGGTTTTCTAAGATACAAGATCAAATACAATGTTCCAGAAATGGAGCACTCTTTCTTGTTCATCTGAGAGGACCTGTATGCTAGCCATGCACAGGTCTGTATTGCTTCTATTTGTTCAAAGTCTAATGGTGTTGTAAGCGGTTGTTTGCAGGCACGGTCATGGTCATAGACACACTAACCCAGCACCTATCAGGATACTTGCATTGTATGGAAATGAGTTGAATGTGTTTTGCAATGTTGATTAGTGTATGTAATTTTGTTTTAATTTTTATTGGGGTTGCATAGCTCATCCCCCTGGACAGCATGGGCTATTTATTCTTTAGTGTTTTAATTTTTATGTGACCTCCTTTTATAACTAGGCCCTGTTCACCACATACCCTCTAGTGATTTAAGTTGTTTGCATCTGGAATGAGTTAACATGCAAAGTGTTTTGAAAATTAGGAATAATTCATTGTTTTTCTGTTTAATGAGCAGAAGCACTGGAAGCCAAAAAAAAAAAAATCAGGTTAAAAATGAAAGCTAGGGTTTCCGGCTCCTCCATTTCTCACTTGTTTCTGCACTACTCCGGTGGGACCAGAGGCTCTCGCTACTAACCAGAGAGGAATGTCACATGATTGGGTGATTCGAGATCGCCACAGAGCATTGGTTGGGTTATTGGAGCAGGACTTGGGTTCATCTGGCCATGTTTGAATTCCTAAATTCCTTTGCAATATTCATTCATTCAACAAATATTTACTAGGCACCTAAGTTTGAGTCAGACATTGATATATGGTATACATACATTCTGTGGCCATCAAATCAAAAGTGATTATGGTTCCACCAGTTTGATAAATCCATCCTGTCAAGTCAAGAATATGTTGAAGTCCAAATTTATTCCTCTAAGAACTTTTTCCATAATTCATTCTCACAGTTGCTGCACAAGGCTGTGGAAAGCATTCACAACCTGCAGATGGAGACTGAGCAGATTATGCATTGCAATTATAATCATAATAGACAAATTCTCAATTGCTCATATGCTGCATTTCTTTTTTCGGTTGGGTCTATACCATATTTTTAAAAGTCTGAGGTCTGTGTGTTTTAGTTAAGTTATAAAGTTATTCTTTTTTATTATATATATGTATTTTATTTTTCAATTACAGTTTATAGTTAATATTATTTTGTATTAATTTCAGGTATACAACATAGTGGTTAGACAATCATATACTTTACAAAGTGTTCCCCCAATATTTCCAGTACCCGCCTGGCACCATACATAGTTATTGCAATATTATTGACTACATTCCCTATGTTTTACTTCATATCCCTGTTACTATTTTTTAATTACCAATTGGCACTTTTTAATATCTTCACCTTTTCACCCAGTTCCCAAAACCCTCTCACCTCTGGCAATCCCCAGTCTGTTCTCTGCATCTAGGAGTCTGTTTCTGTTTTATTTGTTTATATTGTTCTTTTGATTCCACATATAAGTGAAATCACAGGGCATTTGTCTTTCTCTGGCTGATTTATTTCACGTAGCATAACACTCTCCAGGTCTAACCATGTTGTTGTAAATGGTAAGATGTCATCCTTTTTTATGGCCTAATGATATTCCATTGTAGAATATGTACCACAGCTTGATAAAGTTATTCTATTTTATGAACTTCCTTCTCCAAGACAGATGTCACATAAGACTTCAAATGCTGATTGGCTGGGTCTTTGGGAGACCTGGCTGCTTAGTCCTCCCAACTGGGGCGAAGGGTGTGCTCAGACCGAAGGACAATTCTTATGGCAGCAAGACTGGGCTGAGTTCGGGGTGGTCTGCCCAGCCCTGGGTCCAAACGAATGACAGTTGCTAATGGACAAAGACATGACTTCTAAATTGATTTTGGGGGGTTGTTACAACATCAATATATTCTCATTCTCATTTTTTTCTCCCCCTCAGATTAAAGATAGATCTTAAAAAGTGGGTGAAGAACTTAACTTTGGTATGGTTTTCTATAATAACATTTAAAAAATGAAAGTCTTATTTAAGTTGAACTGTTGAGCTTCTTTGAAAAGCCCAGCAGGGGGGCGTTCTGACATTTCATTCCCACCTTTAACAGGTTGCCTAAATTTCTTTAACATAATACATGGGTAAGAATATAAGTGCATGGAAATCATGAGAATATTGCAAAATTTGAATGAGTACCTTATAAAATTGACTTGTAAAATAAAACACTCTTCAAATATCACCTGCTTTATTCTGTTCAACATAGGAATCCAATTTACAACAGTTGAAAATACCAGTGGGTGAGATGGGAGAGGCCCAGATTTTGGTTTCAAGCTTTAAAATTTACTATTTATGAGACCTTGAACTGTCAGCCTCTTTGATCCCCTGTTTCCTTATCTATAGTAAGGAAAGGTTGTTAGAAGAATCAAGATTATGTATATGAAAGCATTTGGATATTGCAAAGCATTATGAATATGCAAAATGGTATTAGTACATGGTCCTTCAGACCCACACTTTTAAAATGTCATGGCGACAAAGGATTTTTTGAAATAGGTTTTAGTAAAATCAATGATACAATAAAAATATAGTGTATCTCTTATAAGGGCACTAATCCCATTCACAAGGGCCCCACCTTCATGACCTAATTGCCTTCTAAAGCCCCCACCTCTGAAGACCATCACCCTGGGGGTTAGTTAAGGCTTCAACATATGAATCTGGGAAGACACATTCATTCCATAACAGAGATGAACCCTATCATTCCTGTCTGTCCTAAGTGCCAGTCGCCTTCTGTCAGCCCCTCGTTTCATTAGCCTTTCCCCCATTTCCCAGGTGTGCAGTTTTCCTCCATCGCCTGTTGACTGCAGACCTATCTCAGCCTGCAACAGTTCCCTCCTCATCTCGTCTATCCTTTTAGTGTATTGCTGCACTTCTCTCTCCTCGTCCCTGCTGCTGTTCTCTCGGAACCTCACTCCAAGGCTTGGCCTCCCTCATCCACTCCACAAGCATGTCCTGGCCACCAGATCCTGGCATCTCTTTCCTTTATGTCCAGGAACTTGTCCAGGCTCCCAGAGCCTCAGCCAGTGAGCCTCACATCAAAGGATCCAATTTTGTCTTCAAGAGATGAAGCCGCAGGAGACGGTCACAGCAGAAATGATGCTGCTGCTCTCATCACAAGGGTGTTTGAATTCCCGCAGGCATGGATCATGGTTGATTCAAGTTAACATCCATTATAAGTCACGGTCCTTTTTATATCCCTCTCATGGGATAGTATTCACATCTTGGAATTTTCTCTGCTTTGGTCTAAGTCGCAAAACTAAGTGTGACTGAATTTCAACAGGACTTTTTAATGAGGTGTGTAAATACTTCCTTTGTTTTTCTCCCTGAACCAGTCGGACATCAGTGGGCACTATTGTGACACAATTGAGTCACTGGGGTAATCTCCAAACTGTGTTTGTTCTGCTTCATCCTGAGAGAGGAAAAGGGGGTATTTTAAAATTAATGTGTGTTCAGGGAATTTCCCCATAGGCGTTTCAGTGGGAGGCAGAGCCCACCTGAAACACATTCCATCTGCACCTCTCCTGCCTTGGGCATGAGACACAGACACAGAAACAGACTCAGCCAAAAAGTGTATCCTTCCTGGAGTTTTGATACTTCCTCGGGGGTAGGAAGCCTTCCTTGGGGTAGCAGCACCCTGGTCCCAGAAAGAGTGATGTCAGCCTTTGGCCATGGAGCCCTAGTCCACACTGGTCCAGGGCCTGATTTTGGCTGTAATTCTGTCAGTTCACACCTCTTCCCCTTTTTTTGTTCTTATGCGTTTTCTGAGACCAGTTCTCCAGCCTTCTGATAAATTCATTCCCAGCTGGAGTCAGCTAGGATCAGTTCTGCTCTCACACCAAATCACTGAGACTGACACGGAATGAAACACTGATAGAGGTTAAAGCCAAGAACAAAATTGGGCACTGTATTAGGGAATTGAATTTTCAAAGGGATATACAAAGATGTTAAAAGCTGTTTGTTTGGGGACTCAGTGTCTCTTTAAAATTCTCTTGTCTTTCTTTGATTCTTTTGACTCTTTTCTTTCTGGTCGCTTCTTTCTTCTCCCTCATAGCTGTGACAGTAAGAAGACCTGCTCTCTCCCAGTTATGAATCTAAGAAGGAAGTAAGATGGGACCCACTGTGGGAGGGGAGGTGCTTTTTGAAAAGCAGGTCAGCTTCCAGACTTTTGTACAGGCTAGACAAAAAGAATCCTATGGGCTATGTGGTCTGGCCTAGGTTAGCTGGACAGGGCCTCATAGTAGTTAGAGTCCTTTCATTTATAAGCAAGAGAGACTGGGAATTAATTTATACGAAAAGGGGAAAGAAGAAAAGCTACTGAGTCACTTTAATTAACAGAAGTGGTCAGGAGACCACAGCCCCAGCATCACATCCCACTAGCAGAGCCCCCTAGTGGACAGAGGAAGTCTTTTCTCAGAGATCCTAGAAGAAAATTCTCAGGGAGGCCTCTGATTGGTTTGTGCTGAATCACATGAACCAATCACTGTGTACGGGTGATGGGGTTCTCTGATTGGTGAAGCTGTGGCTCTTTGTGTATCTGTGTGAATGAGAGCTGGATGGTGGGGGTCACAGGGAGGGAGTCAGCCCCACTTGAGTAACATGTAGGTCCTGCATAGGAAAGAGGCTTTTTTTTTTTTTTTTATTAATCAGAAGAAATGAGGAGAGATGTTTGGCAGGCAACAAAAATAGGTATCCACTCTGGGCCCAAACTTCTGCTGTAACAAAAGAAGAGCACCCTCTGCATTGCCCCTCTGAGGGAGACCTTGGGTGCTGCTCCTGTCACCTCTTCCTTGCAAAAAATATGCTTTTGAAAACATGACACCTTCCAGCATCTGGCCTCCGTCAGTCTGCTTTATTTACTTTAGAGTTTGTATTAGTTTCCTCGAGCTGTTGTAAGAAATGACCACAAACGCCATAGCCTAAAACAATAGAAAGACCATAATCTCTGACAGTACTAGAGGCCACAAGTCCAACATTAAGGTGATGGTGGTACCAACCTCCTTCTGGAGGCCCAAGTGGGGAATCACTCGTGCCTCTTCCAGCTTTTCCAGGCCCTGGCTGCAAAACTCTAAGCTCTGCCTCCGAATTCATCTCACCTTCTCAACTTTACGTCGCTTTTTGTGTCTTCTAGGGACACTTGCTATTGGATTTAGAGCTCACTTGGATAATCCAGGATGATCTCATTTCAAGATTATTAACTTAATTACATCTCCAAAGATTGTTTTACCAAATAAGATCCTAGTCACTTGTTCTAGGGGCTAAGATCTGAACTTTTTTTTTTTTTTTTACTATTCAACCCACTTACAGAGTCCTTATAATTATGTGACTTTTTTTCTGGTTTAGTTTAGTTATATTTGTATTGTCTGACACTCTCCATTCACCCACCCTACTTCTCTCTCTCTCTCTCTCTCTCTCTCTCTCTCTCTCTCTCACACACACACACACACAAATATAAATTCTGTCAGAGTTAGTATCTA